AATCAAAACTAGTATTATCTTAAATTTATTAAAAGTATAATTAAATCTCTATTTTCTTAAATTTTTCTTTTTAAAACTTCTCAATTCTACATTTTTGTAAATTCTACCATTATATTATCATCCTCATCTCCTCCCATGTTCTACTTTATCTTTACAATAGTTAATATTCTTAAATAATTTATATTTTTATTTATTATTTTGTAATATATATTTGAGAAATTAATCAATTATAATCTATTATTTGACAAACTAATCAATTCTAATCAATTATTTAGAAAAGTAATCGATTATAATTAATTATTTGAAAAAATTATCAAATATGATCGATCATTTGAAAATTTAATCGATCATAATCAAAAAATGTGGTTGTATATGATAGCGGTTCCATTGGAACCGCTCTTACAAGTGAACTTATAATAGCGGTTAAACCTTAACCGCTATCTAAAATATATTTTAGATAGCGGTTACGTGGAACCGCTATTATATATTTTCAAATATGATCGATCATTTCAAAATATAATCGATCATAATGAAAACTTACATTAACTATTTTTTTGAATATTATGTTTTTAAATTTGCTATTAGAGAAAACGTTTCAGAATTCAAAATGTTAAATACTTTTAAATTTTAAAATTAACTTTATCAAAAATTAGGAAAAAAATTAATCCAAAAGAGTTCAAAAATGTATTATAATATTGTCAATTTTGAGTTTAATTATATTTTTCATTCTCAAAGTAGAAAAATATATTGCAATTATTTTAATTTAATAAAATATAATTTAAATTTTTAATACTAAAATTAAAAGATTAAATAATAATAAATTTAATTCTTTAAATTTAGTATTTAGAAACTAAAATTATAGTTTCTCTGTGTTTAAAAAATTAAAATAAATATTTAAAAAATAAAAATCAAAACTAGTATTATCTTAAATTTTATTAAAAGTATAATTAAATCTTTATTTTCTTAAATTTTTCTTTTTAAAACTTCTCAATTCTACATTTTTGTAAATTCTATCATTATATTATCATCCTCATCTCCTCCCATGTTCTACTTTATCTTTACAATAGTTAATATTCTTAAATAATTTATATTTTTATTTATAATTTTTTAATATATATTTGAGAAATTAATCAATTATAATCTATTATTTGAAAAACTAATCAATTCTAATCATTTATTTAGAAAACTAATCGATTATAATTAATTATTTGAAAAAATTATCGAATATAATCGATTATTTGAAAATTTAATCGATCATAATAAAAAAATGTGGTTGTATATGATAGCGGTTCCACTTGAACCGCTCTTAAAAGTGAACATCTAATAGCGGTTAAACCTTAACCGCTATCTAACTATATTTTAGATAGTGGTTCACTTGGAACCGCTATTATATGTTAACTTTTAAGAGCGGTGAAAATATTAACCGCTCTTAAAAGTCACAAATATTTTATTTGTTTATTGACACATTTTTGCATCAGATATCGCTCGAGCGAGACGAGTGTCGCTCAAGCGAAATACAACCCGAGAATGCCAATTTTGTGCAGGTGGCGTCGCTCGAACGATGTTATTTTCGCTTGAGCGAATGTTGACCTGTGAAATATAGACCAGTGTCTTTCTGCCTGTGTTCATCTTAGTCTACAATTTTCATGAATTTATTGCTGAATAATTGGTTCGTTAGCTGTTTAATTTGGAAATAGTTTGTTACGAAAGTGGTGTTGAAAGTGTTTTTCCACTTGTTGGGTTACAATATACAAATCTGGTCAGCAATAGTTTAATTAAATAATATATTTATTATCTAATGTATATTGATATAAATTTTTTTTGGTATATCAAGTATATGACAACAACCATGATTAAGTAATTAATAATAATAAATCAATAAATTTAAAAATTAGATTAAAAATAAAGTATTATAAAATAAAATTATAATATTTTGATTAAAATTGTATTTTTTTAATTAATTAAGTTAATGAGGAATTAAAATGTGATAATTTGATGTGTTTAATTTTTTTAATATAAATTTTTAAAATATAATTTAATTTCAATTGAAAATTTCAATTGAAAAATAAATTCAAGAATATTTGTTATTAAACTTTTCTTAAACAATGTATTGAATAGTTAACATCACTCTAGTCTTAATTTATTACAATTTAAATTTTTAATAAATTTGATTTATTACAATTCATTTTGTCAATATTGAAACCAAAGTTTATTTTTAAAGTATATTTTAAAAATTAAATTATTTTTAAAAAATAAATTACTTTTAAAAAATAAATTGTAAAAAATATACTAAAACAATTAAAGTATATTTATAAAAAAATAAATTTAAATATAATAAAAAAATAATATTCATTAGCGACGGATTTCAATTCGGTCGCTATTTTCTCATTAGCGACCAATTTTAATTCGGTCACTATTTCAATTTGTAATTCGGTCGCTAAATCAATCGCTAAATGATTTTTTTATTTTAGTATGAAATAACCACCGATTTAGTGACCGAAATTTTGTGACGCAAAATATTGGTCGCTATTTCGGTCGCTAAATAAAAAAGTGAAAACCAAATAATATTTTGGTCGCTAAATCGGTCGTTAATTGCGATCGAATTAAAGTGGTCGCTGAATCAGTCGCTAATTGCGACCGAATTAAAGTGGTCGCTAAATCGGTTGCTAATTGTGACCAAAATTAAATCAGTCTCTAATTGCGACCAAAAATATTCGGTCGCTAATTTCGGTGGCTAAATGTGTTTTTTCTATATGAACTAACTCCAAAATATATCAGGTCAATTCCAATTTTGACAAGTCCCTTACATATAATGTGTTTTCATCCTCATCAAATATTTTTTTGCTATCACCTCAATGACACTGCCATTAGTATATAATCAAATACCTTTGAAGGATTGTTATCACCCAACTTTACTTACGTAAACATTATACAATGATAAAGACAAAGAAAAAAAAAGAAAATAAAGATAATAATAATAATAATAATAATAATAATAATAATAATAATAATAATAATAATAATAATAATAATAATAATAATAATAATAAATAACAAGAAAAGAACGTTCCAAAAACATACCCATCTTACGGAAAAAGGTCAAAACATCATACCAGGACCATATTTTGAAAAAAAGTCAAAAAAACCATATTTTTACTCAATTTTTCCTCATCATATTAATATCTTCTTTTTAACAATTTAATATATTTAAACATTATTTAACAGTCTTAACATATAAATACTCATTAATTTTTTATTTTATTAAGTTTACAAATGTTAAAATTTTTTTATTGATTAAAAATAAAAATACTAACTTAAAAAATTATATACACGAACTAAAATCACCAATAATAAAAAACTTAAAAAACACACACACATTCAGCTAAAATCGCACATAAAAAATTAACTTAAAAAAATCTCTATTAAAATCGTGTTATATTAAAAAAAAATGTGAATAAGTTATATATGTACAACTTCTTTGTGAGAAAAAAAAGTCATATTTTTAAAATACAACTTTTCATTATAAAGTCATGTCTCAAACTTACCTATATCTATATCAATTTTTTTTTTAAATTATCTATTTCCAGAAAAAAAGTATAAAGCGAATTATCCCTAAGAAATAAACGTTTGATGGTGTATTATTATACGCATAAAGAAAGTAATTTAAATATGTTCGCTTATAGGCTCTATTTAGTATTAATTCTTAAATAATTTATTAATTTTAAATTTTTAATATGGTTAATTATTTTTTAATTTTCATTATTTATAATTATTTTAATATTAGAATATAAAATATTAGTTAAAATAATTAAATGATAATGAGATTTTTAAATAAAATATGTTTTATTTAATATAAATAAGATAGCTATATTATTTTTTTTATATTTTTAACATTATACTTTATTAAAAAAATAATTATAATTTACTTAGATACTTATAAATTATTTTGTATATATTAGTTTTGATATTATAATTTTGAATAATTGTATAATAATTTACTTTTTAATATATCAAAATCATAAACTTCTTTTTAAAGACAAAATAAATACATTATATTTTATATTATTATAATTACCAATTACAATGTATTAAAACTATATGTAATATAAAAAGGTTAAATAAATATAAATAAATTTGTTTGCACGTTAGTCTTCAAATTTACATACTCTTAATAGTTTTAAAAAAATATACTTAATAACTTTATTAATTTTATGACAATATAAAATGATTAAATATTAAATTTAAGTATAAATGCAAAATTATATATTATATAAATTTAACATTTCTATTATCATTGTAATGATAGAAAATCATCATAAAATGATAAATTTAAATATAAAAATAACTAAAGTTATATATTTTCAAAATTTGGAGAATAAATTATTTAATTTAAAGTATAAAACACAGTACAAGTTAAAAATAGAAGAAAAAGACAATTTTTTTTCTATAAAACAACATGATTATTCTTATTTTATTCCTATTCTAACATAACATAATTTAGTTTATAATATATTAAATATTTTTTAACAACCATTCTTTACATATAAAATAATAAATATATAATTAAAAAAATAAAATTATATGTAATTATCTTGTCTAAATAATATTTTATAAATCATGATTATTTAAGAAAATAATATTAAAATTTATTTTTCATAATATATTAAAATAAAAATAAATTATATATAATTATCTTATTTAATAAAATATTAAATACATTACTTAATTAATTTTTTACTTAAAAATAATATAATTATCTTTTTTATTTATTTATTTTTAACATTAAATTAACTATAATTATTTATAAAACTAAAAAAGAATACTGACACAAATTCAACAATATAAAGTAACAAAAAAAAATTACAAAATATAAAATAAGACAAGACAAGACTATTTGAAGAAACTTAAAACACATTTAAATCAAGAAAATAAATTAACCTCTAGTGTGATTGTGACTACAGTTTATCAGCACACAACACAAATTATGTTTCACTGCTTTGTTACTCGTTAAGCTTAAGAAATTGGTATAGAGCATTGGGTTCAAGATGCCAACTATCCTCAGGGATGCCATACTTTTCAGTTCCAGGCACCCTGTAAGCTAAAACTTGATGTGAAAAACAAAACATCTCTGTTTCACAAATTGTACGAAGTAGATCAACTCCTTCGTATTTTTGCCTCCGGAAAAATGTTAACCAATTGTCTACCTCTTCAAGGTTGACTACTTCAATCCCATTTTTTGCAGAGAATTTTGAAACAACTTCCACCATCCAATATTGACATTTTCCGTAGTCATCATGCTCCAATTTTCTACTCCAATTCTTGTACATTGCCCAAACCTCACCTTCCTGGGGATAAATCATAAAATGTGACCTAGTTGTACCTTCAACATAATTGACTAAATGGGAGAATTGTGACATGTCAAGTTCAATCCTGTTAGTGCCAGGTTTAAAGATTCCACAAACAATAGGTAAATTTTCTCTACATTTTGTCTCATCTTCGTGAACAAGTTGTTCAGGTTCTAAAATTGTTACCAAAACTTCCCTTTCAGAAACCACACTATTTACTAGAGCATATTGACGAGGCATGATATCCTCCCCACAATAATAAATTGCCCAAACCTGACCATTGGCAAAATCATCTGCTGATAGAAACTTTCCAACACAAAAAGTATGCTCACTAATATCTACTACTTTAATTGATTCCTCCAAAATTCCTTGTTCAAGTTGAACATCAGGGTTTGAGCTATCAATGCACCTCTCCAAAGTAGAAGAAGAAATAATCTCAGTGGATGAAATGAGATGATTGTCTTGTCCTAAACCATCATGAAAATGTTTTTCTCTGTCTGAAAGCATGTTCAGTGCATTCTCAACAATTTGTTGAGCCAACTCAGCTCCAGGAAACTCATCTTCTACACCATTTGTTGATGTGACAAACTCATGAAGAGAATTTATAGCATCAGAATAAGTGGCTGACGGATATATTAGATCAAGAATGCAATGACAATCAATCTCATTATTTGACATCCTCACAGTGGAAGCAAGCAATAATATGTCACAAACTGTCAGCATTAGATTAATACCATCAAGTTCTGGGTAAAGTAACTTTGCATTGAGTAACTTTTTCCTGGCATCAGTGTACTCCTCATTGTGCATCATGATTGCTGCAACCCACTTCTCCTGAAGAGCCTCCACCTTTTGATTAAACCCTTTCATATCCTGGTCGCTTCAGGATTCATATGTAAACATACACTAGAGTTGCATCACTTGCATGTGCCAGAACAATTATTCAATTCCATGCACCAACTTTGAAGAGAAAAGGGTTAAGGCAAAATGGAGCCTGAAAAGTGCATTTTTACTTGTGCCACACAAAAAACTATAGGAATAAAGTGAAGATGAAAATCAGAAGCCAATATATTGTGAAGGCAACACATCAACTGTGTGTAAAAGGTATCTGACAGACACTGTAAGTATTGTACTGTTGTATTGTCCCACATGCACAAGAACGCGTCTAGCATGTATATGCATGTGTTCAGGACAAGGAGACATTGAAACTTGAAATTAATGGAGGTTGGTAAAAGAAATTTTCAACTAAATACATTCATAAATCTACAATGTCTATCCAACTAAAAATAAAACCAACAAGGAAAACTACAATTATCATGATTGTTAACCATATAAAAGTTTACAATGATATATTACAATTGAATTTTAAAATTTAAGAAATACCACCATGTACGTGTAATTTATAATTGTCATAGTCTTCATCATCGTTACATCAATATTTTTCACTGGTGAATTAAAAAAAAAAAAAAGTAAAAATAATCAGATAGTATAAGTAGGAAAAAAGTAATACCTATGAATTCTGTATATTTTTTGAAAGGTGAGCCCAAAAGGCAGGGTGGAATGGCCCCTATATTGTAGGAAAATATATGTGGTCAAAGTTTGAACCAGGTGTCACTAAAGAAAATAAAAGAGGCAGATGAGATTTCGAGCGACAGATATGCAAATTCGTAACCACAGCTTCTAACCTTCAAATGCGCTCTCTAAATAACATTGATCATAACCTTTTTCTTATCCTTCTTTTGTCTCTCGAACTATTACAATAGGACTTTCCTGCAAAACAAAATAAGGAGACGAATAACAACAAAAAACAAGAAGAATATCCATAAGCATTATTATTTTCCGAAAATGAATTTCTCAAAACTCAATGACTCGCCCATGTTCCGGCAACAGGTTCTGTTCTCATTATTCTTTCACATACTTTCAATATCTATCTGAAGGTTGCCGTCATTATTTCTCTGGCAAAATATGTACAAAGTTGGTGTTATGCTGAAATATATGTTGCTGTTACGCATTGTAGTTTTATTTGCACGGTTCATTCATTCATTGTTGTTTAGGAGGGTCATGGGTTTTTATGGTAGTTTGGTGGGGCATGTGCTTGAAATGAATCGGTTGCTTAATTATGAATCATGAATGGGTGTGGATATATATATGCAGCTCCAGTGCATGGAAGAGAGTGCAGAGTCGTTACGTTCGAGATGTTTCAAGTTCTACAAAGGATCTCGAAAGTACACGTGGGTTTTCCATGCCATTGTTCTTGTTAATTTTTTCAACATTTTGCACTTTAGGAACTGTTTTTCTCCGTATTTGTGTATGTTGTGTTACTAATTGAATACGTAGCCTATAATATGAGATTTGTACGTACACTTAGACCCTCATTTCTCTCCTAAGAAAGCACATACTAGATACTTCCAGACAATAGAAGAAAGAACAAAACCTCTATATCTACTCTCTCCTCTATTATACTTGACGTTCATCTTTATATAGGCATGTTGAAACTTCAAAATCTGGAACGGTTTTGCTCAAACCTTTAGTCAAATACCAAAATAGTTTTCAATATATAGTATATATATTAGTTTAGTTATCGTTATTTTATGTTATCTAAGGTTGAGTTACACAAATTAATATATATATATATATATATAAATTATTTTTAATAAATCTATTATTTTAAAAAAATAATAAATCTTTTATTTTTAATATAATAAATCTATTATTTTAAAAAAATAATAAATCTTTTATTTTTAATATATATATATATATATATATATATTAATTGTTTTTAATAAATCTATTATTTTAAAAAATAAAGTTACAATTAATAAAAAATAATGATATATTTTTAAACTTTATAAATTACTTATATTTAAAACATTTTTTTCTTAAAAAGATTATATATATTCAGAAAGAGAGGAAGAGTAACTTTACATCAAGTAAATTACTTTATATTTATGGTAAATAGGGAAGGGCTTGGAGAGGCATATGATGGAGACATTGCATTTGCTAGTGCCCTTGAAAGTTTTGGAGGAGGACATAGTGATCCTCTATTTGTAACTTTGGGAGGTAAGTCTTGTATATCTCTTTCCTCCAGCTGCATTTTCTGAAAAAATAATTTTTTAAATAAGTCTAAATGATTTACATTGTGGTATGTATATACTTCTTTATTATTAGAAATATTTATATTCTATGAAAAAGAATAAAATGAACTTTTCGCAAATTCTCTTTTGGATTTTGTAATGTTGTATAAAAAATTCAGAAAAATATTTCAAAAAAAGTGTTAATAATAGTAACTTATGTTAGTATATTTTGAAATATTTTTTGACTTGTATAATTGTCCTAAAATAAGATGAAAACCTTTAGTTGAGCTTAACAGGCCATTTATTGTTACACTCCAGTTCTTCTGAGCATGATATGTTTGGGCCGCTTAAGGAACCTGTAAAATACCTAGAGTTATATATGTTTGCTTTCTTAGAATATTGAATGACAAAATATTTTTTCTTCTGCTGTTAATTTTGATAAACTAATTTGTGTTATCAGGACCAGTTATGACCAAATTTGCTATTGCTTTGAGAGAAATCAGTACATGCAAGGAACTTCTTCGGTCACAGGTAGTGATTTGTCCAATTTTCCAGTGTCATTATTTTTCAGCTTTTATTTAGGCTATAGACTAGTGGTGAAACATATGGTTTCCAGCACAGTGTCTACTTAGAAAATTTAAGCTTCTGTCATGAGTTAACAATTTCTTTTGGTTCATTTTGTCAATTTATGCATCTTTCAAAATTGGATTAGACTAGATGATATAGTTCAAAAACTCCCTTTTTCTAAAGATTCTATAGTATATCAGAAACAGTTGTTGTAACTTTATTGCTAAACTGACTCTACTTAATGCTGTTTCTTAGGCGGAGCACATGCTGAATGATCGATTACTAAACATTCTAAACGTCGATATCGTAGATGTCAAGGTATATAGTGTGTATAACAAATTTTTTAAATGTTTGAAATATAATTATTAGTGTGAAGAATTGATGTTTTATATTGGTTCAATAAGACAAATTAATATTACTTGACAGTGAGAAATCATGACTGTGATGAAAAAACTTCATTACAGGACTATCAGTTAAAACTTGAAACAATGGACAATGAATTAAAAGATACCCCCGGTGGTGGAATTAGTTTTAAAATTTGACAACACTTTCAAAAGGGATAATGTTCCTGGGAGTTGATTTTCTTATATTCAGCAAAATAATTTTTGCCTTCAAATGGCTTGTAATTTCTTTTTCATCCTTAATGCTTCATGTGATGCTTGCAGGAAGCTCGAAGGCGTTTTGAGAAAGCTTCCCTTGTACATGATCAGGTGCTTCTAAATAGCTTTTAAAAATTCCACATGGTTTCTTCTTCCACATTTTCCATACCCTTCTATGTATAAGTCATGTCATGAGCATGATCATAACCCAAATACAATGTTGATTTTATGCTACAGGCACGTGAGAAGTTTATGTCACTGAGAAAAAGCACTAGGATGGATATTGCCACTGTCTTGGAAGAGGTAGGCCATGTAGCTTTTCTTCGACATCTTCGTTCATGAATTGTCTTAGCTTGTCATGGGTTACCATGATTTTTTCAACCTAATTTGGTAGAGAGACATTCCAGGAATTGCACAATGCAAGAACCTCATTTGAGGAATCTCGTTTCAATCTGGTAATCTATTAGTTGAACAAGATAGATATGCTGCTTGTGAATATTAAGGAATGAAAATAAACTTAGTTCTTGACACAGTTCATCTTGTATTCTAGGTTAGTGCTCTTCACAATGTTGAGGCCAAGAAGAGATTTGAGTTTTTGGAGGCTGTCACTGGAGTTATGGATGCTCATCTTCGGTATTACCGACAGGTATATGACACAGATAATCATATATGGCATTTTCATTTCAACATGAAATATTGCACTTGTGAAGTTTCTAAAATTTATTTCCTTTTGCAGGGATATCAGCTATTGCATGAGCTTGAGCCTTTCATTATCGAGGTTTCTCTCTTTGCATTTTACTTATTTTACTTGTAACTTTAGGAAACATGTTGTTTTTTTTAAGTTATTTATGTTTGGATTTTTTTATTCTAAATGTAGTAAAATTTAGTATAAATATTTTTATCTAGCATAAAATCTACCTAGAGTTGCTTCAACTTTAAATAAATCTTAAACATAGAAAGAATCATTTATCAAGGTAAAACCAAATATATTAATCTTAAAAACACCTTACCAAGTGTTTCAACATAATTTCTGATGATGTAATGTGAAACCAATCATGTAGGTAGTTTTCTTTTGATTACATGTCTAAGGCAAGTAAAATACATTCAAAATGCTTGTGCTTGCACAAAACTCCACCACAATGACATACTGAGCAGAATTGTGGATTTGAAAATATTATTAGCATTCCTAATTTATTCTGAATGGAATTTATTTGATATGTTGCAGGTTTTGACTTATACACAAAAGGCAAGAGAAAGCTACAATGAGGAGCAGATTAGTCTTTGTGAAAGAATGCTGGAGTACAAAAAACATGTTCATCACGAAAGTATGTTGTCCTTGAATGGCCCTTATATTCCTCCTGGTGGTAGAGATGGGAATACAGTGCAGCCTTTTTCAAGGATATCAAATGAAGTGGCAGATGCTGTAACAGAATCTGCTGAAAATGGAAAGGTAATACATGACTCTTTATCTATGAATTCACTTGTCTGAGCAAATTTGTTTGGTAAGTTAGTATTAGCTTATACGCATAAACTAATTTGATAAAATTCTCACATATAATCTCTCTAAAGTTTTTACATTTTAACTTCTGTACAAGGTTGTTCCAAGATACTCAAACATATCCTTAGTATCTTTAGTTCCACATACTAGATGTGGCTTTTCAGACTACTAAGAAGCTAGTAATTATAACCTCTACATCTTAAACATGATTTCATACTTCTCAACGGTTTTCAAACACACATCTATATAGTTTTCATTTCTGAATCCTATTCACTGATATGTCCAAATGCACTACTCTTAGGTTCAGATCATTAGGCAAGGATATCTTTGTAAACGATCTTCAAATTTGAGGGGTGATTGGAAGAGAAGGTATTTTGTTCTTGATAGTCGTGGAATGCTTTACTACTTTCGTAAACCATGGAATGGATTAAATGTAAGTATCCAACTAAAACCAAGCATTAGTACACTATATAGTATATACTCTCTAACTAGCTAGGTGATAATGCTGATTTTAATTTCATGATCTTAAACAGGGTAACAATCAATCCATGCACAGAAATTGTGCCACTGATAACAGTGCTGGAATTTTGAGTCGCCTGCTTTCTTCACATTACCATGGAGCTATGCCTGATGAAAAATCTGTAGCACGTCACACAGTGAACCTGCTAACATCAACAATCAAAGCTGATGCTGAACAGACAGATTTAAGGTTCTGCTTCAGGATTATTTCACCGTCGAAGAGTTACACATTGCAGGTATGCATTCCAAACAATTAGTCACACGTACTTCGGCATTTTATCATTACTTCTGTCTCCTCACTAAGGCCAACGTAATGCAGGCAGAAAATGCCATGGATCAGACGGATTGGATGGAAAAGATAACTGGTGTAATTGCCTCCTTGCTGACTACACAGACACTGGTACATCATGATTCTCTTCTTTTGCCTTTTGTTTGCACAGTTTCAATCACACAGATGTTGACTTTAAAATAATCACTTTCAATAACTATGATTTTTATTAGTTAACCGTCTAACCTATTCTTGAATAATTTAAAATAAAGTCTATGTTCTTCACTTAGGATGATAAATATGAAAGAAATGATCCTTTTAATATTATTCAATTTTATTTTAAATTTCTTAAAATTCAATGTGACACTTGGATGGATGTTATGGACAACAATTAGATTCTAAATTGTACCTCGCATTTGACAGAGATAATCAATGAAAAATATCGTCTTTTATTATCTCTAAAGTTTTCTATTGATTTTAATGGTAATTTACATAAGAAAAAGTTATTTATACTTTGAGTGACATAGTCATAAACTTTAAAGTATAGAGTTAAAAGTAAGTCATTCAGGGACTTCTTAATTAATTTACCTAAAAAAGGTCACCGCCTGTAAAATGATAAATGGTATGGGGAAACTTTAGTTGCCAAACAACATTAGGCACGTTTTGAAGAATCTAGAATTTTCCATCAGATTTCTTAGCTAAATCTAGCAAAAGTCTTTTAAGTGCATCCTCTTATGCCTGTATGTATTAATCGTGTTATGTGACAGGATGAGCCAGAAAATGGTCACAGTGCCAGCAAGCTTTATTTATTACCGGGTTGTCCAGATGATGAAGCATGGAGTGGGGATTCTATGTCATCTGAAGACTCGCAGAAGAATAAGCAAAGTACAAAACATGAAAAGCCAATTGATATTCTTAGAAAAGTTAGTGGCAATGACAAATGTGCTGATTGTGGTAAACCTGATCCAGACTGGGCATCCTTAAATCTTGGCATCCTCATATGCATTGAATGTTCCGGTGTCCACCGGAATCTTGGTGTACATATATCAAAAGTAAGTGTTTGAGGTTACAAATTCAAGAGCGTGCTATATGGCATTATCAACTCTTGGTTGTTGATGTTTTTGTTTTTCTTACCGGTTTTTAATATTGAAGACAATATTTTTATTAAATTTTCTGTATAGTACTTTTTTTCACAGGTGAATCATCATTTTCTTTTCACAGGTAAGATCACTGACCCTTGATGTAAAAGTATGGGATTCAGCTGTCTTGAGCATGCTTCAGTCGCTAGGGAATCACTTTGCAAACTCAGTTTGGGAGGAACTGTTGCAGTCAAATACTTCACAAACAGATGACACTCATGATGGGTGAGTTTTGCTAATGATTGATGGGCTTAACTGTTTAAACTTTCACTAACACACATGAACCTTATAATGTAGATCATACAAACCACCCAAAAAGTTATTTCATGCAAGAAAACCATCACATGATGATCCTATTTCACTGAAGGAGAGGTTCATTCATGCAAAGGTAATAAATATTATATCCTATTTCCTAGCTAGAAATATGAAATTAACCTTTTAGACACCAAAAGGAATGAATATATATCCTTTTCTTCTTCCTCATTATTTATTTACTGTGAACTGCACCCATGGACTCTAATAAACAAAATAGTATGGTTACTTGAATGTCTGGGAGATAGAACTTGATGCATGGTTTCTCTTGTTTCAGTATGATGCAAAAGTCTTTGTTAACCGGACAAGGAACAACAACCGTCACCTTTCAACGGCACGTGAGGTGGTAGAAAGCATCAACGCCAACGACAAGAAAGCAGTGTATCGACACATTGTGAAATCAGATTTGGATGTCAATGCTATCAGTAGTGAAGAAGGTATATCTTCTTATATCCATGTTACTAGAAAAAAATTGCAGTTGAAAAAGCCGCAAGTCCTATTAGAATAATAATGCATTGTTGTGCAGGCTTTTCTTCCTACATAGCTTCTTCAACTAACGATCCAAACAAATCACGTGAAATCACAACCCAACCTGTGGGAGACAGACATGATGGTTTTACTGCGCTTCACCTGGCATGCCTAAGTTGTGATACTGCAATGGTGGAGCTACTCCTACAGTATGGGGCAGACTTGAATGCTATTGATTCTAGAGGGAGGACACCACTATATTACTGCACTAAGATAGGAAAGCATGCAACTACAAAAGTGCTTATTACAAGGTAGTTATTTTGAAAGATTTCTTAACTGCTCCCACTTTTTCTCGTACATTACACCCTTATATTTCTGGTCACTGAACCTCTATATCCAATTTCACACAATGGTCATCAAATAGCCAGTTTCTCTATTAAACTACTGGATAGCAGAAAGTCTCTATATCCTAATTCACCTAATGTGACTAAATTTATAGCATGGAACCCCCCTCTTTGCAAGGGAATTAAAAACTTAAAAGATATTTTTCTTATATTTTGTTTTCAATGAAAAATATTTCTTTTCTGGTGTATGCGAAATGTGTGTATGAAAAAATTATTTATATTAAGCCAAATACTATTTATTTGTAGTGACTGATATGCATAGTAATTGGTATTCCGATTTCATACATGTTGTTTGTTCTTGTGTATAGATGCTGATCTAGTTTGGAGATAATGCATATTTTCTCATTGCAACTTCTTTTTGTTATTTCTATCACTTTTGTTTGAATTCAACTACAAGCTAAAATCTACATTTCCTAGAAATAGGAAACTTAAATAATTTATAAATGAAAAAACACTCAAACTTAAGATATTAAGATTTTTAGTCTAAGGTGAAGTCATATTCTTACCTAGTCATAATGAATCAGACTTGAGATTAGGTCACTATATTTCCTAGGAAGAATTGAAATTTCAGCCAAATAATATGGTTTATGCTTTGACTATTTATCATTATCCCCTGAGGAATATTGCATTTTACTTCAGTTCCATTTCATCATGCATGTATTTTTATATCTGACATAATAATATTCATACTTAGAAAATTTACTAAAGGAAGTTACTAATTATTTCAGGGGGGCCAATCCACTTGCCGTTGACAAAGAAGGCAACACTCCTTTTAAGCTTGCAACAGAACCTGATACTGCTGGCAAAGATACTCCTGCTCCTAACCAGGAAACGACATGCCCTCAAAACTCACTAGAAACATAACTCATAGCAACCTTGTGTTTATCTACAATAAAAATATAGAAGAGAGATAGACGATACGATGTAGCAAGAGAGCTAGAAAGAAATGAAAAATATCAATGCAAAACATGTCATGCATAGGTATTCATATATATTATTACATCATCTAATCTTAACGAGTTTTGATTATAGCAAAATTTATGAAGTTTGAAGATTAACTATGCAGAGAAGATACACAGCGTCCTGTTGCGGAATTTATATACATACTCTAACTCAGAACACAAAAATTTGTCACGGTAAAAGACTTAGTGTTTTTTTTTTCTCCATTATCAGATTTTTTTTATTTAATAAAAAAAATAGTTTTTTCATTTTTTTTATTTTGTTTGTAAAGTACTTTCATGACAAAAACAAAGCAAAATTATATTATGAATTAAAAAAATCAAAGAAAATATATTAGATATAAAAAAAATCTATAATTTATCCAAAACTAAAAATCTAAACCTTATAAAAATACTTAAATCTTTGAACATAAGAACAGCAATGCATTGCAAATAAGTTCGTCAACATAATCACTAAATTATAAATTATATATAAAATGGAGTAAGGGATCCGGGTATCCATTTCCAACTAGGTTTTCCCATTTTTGCTTTGATTTAGTTTTGTTTCGTCTAGAAACTAGAGTGTCCTGATTTTATGTATGTTATAATAACATTTGTCGTCGCCGTTAAAAGAGGCGGTTGTAGTGATGCGATGATTTTGTTGACTCCCATTTTTTAAAGAAGTGGTTCAACGCCTTTAGGTTGTCCGATAACCAGACTGGACCTAAAGACGAGATTTTCGAAAAGGTTCGAGGAGTCGTCACCAATATTTTTACCAAAAACATTGGAAAAGGAAAAGAAGGCAATGATTTTTAAGAAAAACCAACTTTGGTCATTACAACCAGAGTTAGGTAAGAGAGTTAGTTACGTGTGGGAAAGGTATTAGCTTCCCCACGACGCCCCTTTCGGGTTTCCTATGATGAACTATTTTTGTAAAGAAAAAAGAACTTTAAAACTACACTTTTACCCTTATTTATTCATTGCAAAAATTAAGTTATCGACTACATGACCCTTAATAACTAATGCACAGAGATAATATCTAATAAAAGTAATAAAATAGAAATAGGGATATGAAAGAACCTTCGAAGCAAGTTTTTTATAAAATATTCTCGAAAATGACACTTTTTTGGCAAACCTCACGCTCTACAATGCAGCTCACTCTTCTCTCGGAGCACTTTAGAACGCTTCCTAAGAACTCTAGAACTCTGGAAATGATTCAGAGGGGTCTTAGGAGAGTATTTTGAGAATTATGCAGTTGGAGAAGTTGTAGAAGGTTGTGAAAATGAGGTGAAGGTCCCCCCTTTTATAGGAATTCGCACCTGTCAGGTTGGTACCGCCGTTTCGCCGAACAAGGTCGAGACCGCCGTCTTGACTTTTGAGACCGTCGTCTCGCCTTTGGCAAATGGCGAGACGCTCGCCTTTGGAAAGTGGCGAGACGACGATCTCACCAAACGAGACGGTGGTCTCGTCCTTAGCCAACGGCGAGATGGCGGTCTCGACCCTTTGGGTGAAATTTCTTATTTTTTGTGTACAAAAATCCTTCCTATTCTAATATGAGGCCTATTGATCAATCTTAGGGACCTTTTAGGCCTTTCCCATCTTCGAACGAAAGTCTTGTGCTCTTTATTTTTGAGGCCGGACAAGATTTGGGGTCTATAGCTGTCCCCCTTCACCTGACTAGCCGACTGTTGGCTCAATATGCCAAAAAGATCGGCTGGAGGGTGAAGGAGTTAACCCTCTTGCCAGGTTGTCCTTCGGTTGCTTCCCTTGTCGTAGCCGATCTTCTGGATGCTAAGTGTGATCCTCCATGATGCTCCTTTGATGCGGTAGCTGACCCCTTTGGTTGTAAAGTTCGGTTTAAGCCCCCTTTTGTAAGGCTTAATGAGTATGCACTCCCATCTGGTTTGACGAGTAAGAACCCCCGTCTGGTTGTTGTAACCTTGGGATGCTCCTTTGATGCGGTAGATGACCCCTTGGTTGACAAAGTCTTGTTTAAGCCCCCTTTTGTAAGCCTTGATGAGTACGCACCCCCATTTGCACTACTACAAATAAAGCTTTCAACGTCGGTTCTGGAAGGCTTTCAACGTCGGTTGTTGAACCGACGTTGTATTAGGCGACGTTGAAAGTATGATTTTTTAAATTAATAATTTTTATTTATTTACAACCCCTTTACCCCTTTTTATTTATCTAGAAGTCTCCCCTCTCTTTATATTATATTTTTATTAGGTCCTCCATCTCTTTATATTATATTTTTTAGAAGTTTATTAATTTTTTAAGAGAATTGTCATTGGCAGGATTCAAACCCAAGTACTTTAGAGTTGGAGACTGATACTCTAACCACTAAACTACTAGAATTTTCCGATAATAACTTACAAATAAATTATATTTATATACAAATAAATATATATCCGTGTAAATATATAAATATATAAATACAAATATATTTATATATTTTGATATATTTATATAGTTATATATTTATATGTTGGATGTGAGGGCACACTCGAAAGTGAAAGTGTGTGTCGAGTGAGTTTTCAAAATTTGATGCTAAATTTGTGAGCAAGTATCTTTATATGAGTTTGTAATTTAATGACAGAATATAATCTTTATAATTTTATTTATATAATGATATAAAATAAATTTGGGAAACGCGTTATTTGCTCTCAAGCGAAAAATACCAATTTTCGCTCAAGCGAGACTTGAGTAAGTGAATTTTCGTGAGCTTTAACATATTTTCACTCAAGCAAGAGTCAATCACACTTTCACCCTCGATCGAAAAATACCAATATAATTTATTTGTAAGTTATTATCAAAAAATTATAGTAGTTTAGTGGTTGGGATATTAACTTTCAACCCTAAAATACTCGGGTTCAAATGCTATCAGTGACAATTCATTAACTTAAGAGAATTTTTGGTTGAAAATAAAAATAAAAATACTTTCCAGAAAATATATACAAATAAATATATATTTACATGGATAAATATTTATTTGTATATAAATATAATTTATTTGTAAGTTATTATCAAAAAATTCTAGTAGCTTAGTGGTTGGAGTATTAGCCTCCAACTCTAAAGTACTGGGTTCAAATCCCGCCAATGACAATTTTCAAATTTAAGTGAGTTTTTGGGTGAAAAAAAAAAGACTTTCAACGTCGGTTTATATGGGAACCGACGTAGAAAGTACTTTCTACGTCGATTGACTAAGAACCGACGTAGAATGTGTTTACTATTCAACTTTCAACGTCGGTTCATCTATAACCGACGTGGAAAGTACTTTCTACGTCGTCTCAGCTATAACCGACGTTAAATGACGACGTAGAAAGTATATTTTGTAGTAGTGTTGGTTTGACGAGTGTAGACCCCAAATCTTGCCTGACTCCCAATAAAGCCAAATATCGCCCGTTTCGAACATGGTCAAGACTTTATTAAGTCCCTAGTAGCTTTTTCTAGGTTCCATTTAAGATAGGAAAGGTTTTTAGAGGCAATAAAAATCGGAAAATCCGCCTGAGGTAGCAGATGGCCGTCCAGGACAGTCAGACGGTCGTCTACTTAGCTTGGATGACCGTCCATGACAACTTTTGGTCATGGACGACGGTCCACACTACATGGACGTCCATCCATGGCCACTTTTTGCCATGGACGGCCGTCCACTAAGTCCAGACGACCGTCCACTTTTTCCTGGTGCGGTTCCCTATAAAAAGGAGCCCCCATTCCTCGAAAATTCACACCTTTTCACTCCTACCACTCTCTAGGAAGCCTGTTGGCACTTTTGAGTGACTCTGAGCATTATTCCGGAGTTCGTGTGAGCTTTCCGATTTCCGTTTAAAGTAGAAATCGGTTAAGGAAGTCTCCTATTGAGACATCCGGTTTTCGCTAGAGTGACTTTTCTTTCTTTTGCGGGAGGAGCGTGCCTGAAGAGTGCGGGGACTGCCAAAAAGCATCCTCAAGTTTTGAAGGGTTAATATAAAGCTTCCTTCCCTATTCTCTCTCTCTATTACTGCTTTCTTTATTGCTTTCTTTGTGTGCATTAGATAATAGGGCCATGTAGACATTTAAATTGTGCAAGTAGATAGAATAATAGAGTAAAAGCATAATTTCTTTAAGTATTTATTTTCTAAACTTGTCCATCATAAGGAACCTCAAAGGGGTGTTGTGGGGTGCTAACACCTTTCCCACATGTAACTAACTCCCTTACTCTGGTTGTAATGGCCAAATTTGATTTTTTCTAAAACCACTGCCTTCTTCTTTTTTTCACCTTTTTCAGTGTTTAAGGTTAAAACACTGATGACGACTCCTCAAACTTTTTCGGAAACCTCGCCTTTAGGTCCAGCTCGGTTATCGGACAACTTAAAGACGTTGAACCACTTCTTTCAAAAAATGCGAGTCATTCAAAACCATCGTGTCGCTCCGACCGCCTCTTTTGACGACGGCAACAGATGGTGACTCCGCTGGGGAAGCTAGAGAGTTGATCCCATTTAGTGATGAACTAGTTTAAGAAATAAAAACTATAAATTACGTTTTTACCCTTTCTTTCTTTATAACATGCTTTACTGTTTAGATTTAATAATTGTTGTATGCTTATTTTCTACAATTGTTTGAAATAAACTGTACACAAACCCTTGCACACAACAATCCCTCTATAATCGAGGGCAAGAGAGAATACACATAGGGAGTGGGTGGTAGGTACGGCCGACCATGGTAATGGCCTTAGTGTTAGCAGATCGTTGTCGGAAATCACCACTCAAGGTGATAACCTTCTTCTTTTGGTCTAAGAACGTTGACACGGAGATCCGTGCATGGTTCAAAGACTGAGATATTGAAGGGTCCCTATAATGGGGGCACCTTGGGGGCCTGGCCTTGGTGAGAACAGTTAGAACCTACCTTTGCCAATGCACTTTTCTGCAGGAAACCCCTACCTTGTAATTA